ACACATAAATCACATTGGCAAGGGATGGAAACGCACCACTACACTTTCTCACTCCTATTCAGTTAAATCTCAATTTCTTTCCACAGTAGCATAATTTCTTTAACCTAAAGAAATGATGACCCAGAAATAACACAAAGATTAGAACCTAAACTGTGTGTTTGTTTATTTAATGACTCTTATCTTTTATGAGTCTGGGAAACCCTCAAGAAACCTGCTTTCCTCTTGCTGTCAGGAAGAAGTACATCTGAATCATTTTACACAAACAAGTGTCCACTGTCAAGTTCTAGAATGAAGAAAAGATACTTCTTGTGGTAACTCTTTTATTCTCTAATAGCTGGCTGCTTTGAGTAACTCTGATATATCATAAATACATTCTAGAACAAGATGTAATCTTTGGTTTATAGATTATAGCCACTTACTCTTCTCCATATGCTCTAATAATTGTGAATACCATTTTTCCCCTCTACCGAAGTCACTTGTTTATGTATTGTATATCAGGAATCTTGAAACACACCCTTTCATGGTGGTCTGTACTGAACAATACCATTAAAACCAAAATGTCTACATGATGACAGTACTTCTTTAAAGCAGCAGTAAGCGTAGTAGAAGTCCAACATGCTAATTGTTAAAGAATCATTTCCTTTCCCTTCTAACAGATTTTGAACTGCATTTGAATCTCATCAAAACACTCATGATTTACAAAGGTCCACTGTCTTCATGTAAACCCTTAGTGTGTCTTAGATATCACTTATTCTAAGTTTGTATCTTTTGCTTCAGTGGTCTCATATTATATATTATATTACTGCCTATTTAAGAAAAAAAACATTTTACTTAAATAGCTTTATTTTATTTTGCCTTCATTTTTCTAATACTGTGCTGGTCTTATAGCAACCTCACACAGAACCCAGCCTGAACACTAAAGCTACACATCCATTCATTCATACAATCATCAGTTCATTAAGACATTTCCTTGAATCCTGACTGGGAAACACACACCATAATTGGCACTTAGAAGTTAAAAGCATACACAGACCACAGTTCTTGCACTCGCCATCTTATATTCTAGGGATGGTTATGAGAGTAGAGAGAAACAGGCAAAAGGTCTGGATCCCTTTCTCTTCCCTAATCTCTATATTCAAGTTCCTCTAGCTTCATTTCTCTTCAGTGCCTCAAGCTATTAGGCCAAATTACAACTCACACTTCAGTTCCTCAAAAGCACTATTCTCATACTTTGTATGTAATAGTCCTTCAACAGTCTACATTATCTCCATGGCCCTGAATCCTATCCCAAATTCTTAGTTACACAAAATAAAAATAAGCATTTAAGAATAGCCATTATTAACAGAAACCACACTGTCCTCTTGGAATGACCTTGTAAAGATACAGAATTTCATAGACTTTAACCCTTCAAACAAAGCAATGACAATGTTTTTATACTTTAAACGTGTTCTACAAAGACACAAAGGGAACATTCAAAATAGATTATTTGAAGACAAATACACTAATAAACTAGAGGGAGGGAGGAAAGAGAGGCGGGGGAGGGAGGGACAGAGAGAGAGAGAGAAACAGAGGCAAACCAATCAACCAACAAAAACAGTAAGTTAAACTTTCTAAATTAGTTGAGATACGAAGACCCTACAAGCAAGCATTAGCTTTACATGTGGTTTCTGTACAGAATTCTATAAATGAAAACAACTCAAATGTTTACTTACTAAATTGCTACAAAGCTTCACATACTCTAGGAGAATGGATATTGATAGTCTTTGCCTCTTTCTTCAAGTGTTGCTTATAAAAACTAAAAGCAAGGTACAAAATTGTTCCAAGAGAAACATGTATTGTGTAAAAAAGGCTGAATATTTGCTTGCATAGATATTAAAGGCCTTGATTCTAAATGTATGCAAAACTTCAGGACACTACCTGAGAGATCAGATTGAATCCTTAACCGTTATAATCATATATATATCCAAAGTGATATTTGAAACAAAACATTATAAAATTGAATTTTTAATATTTCAATCAAGGATTTTATGATAATGGAACTGCCTTTTTAACACTTAATTTGTTCCTTAAATTAATAGCAATGGGGGTGTAAGCCAATGTGATAAAAATAATACATCTCCGGCTTGTTTATGAAGAGCTCCTATTGCTTTCAAATTAGTTCTGTTAATGAGAAACAAATACCTACTTTTAAGTTTTTATGGAATGACCATATATGTTTATCTAAAGTAAACACCATACCCAACTGACATGCCATAAAAAATTCAACATTACTGTGAGCATTATAATCATATTTAATATATTCTCAGTTATTCAAATATCTAGTTTTTGTTTTCTAGTAGTCACAGAGAATTAAAAATAATATTCTAGTAAAAGACATATGAAAAAGCATTGGGTTCTGAATCATGTTTAATGACCTTTCAAAAAGATTTATAAAATTACAAATAAAAAAGAGAATTAAGAAGAAGAAAGAACAAGGGTAAGTATTCCTCTTGGTTAATATGTGAAATCAAATATCAAAAATTGATTTTTATTTCCTGGCCTTGGTGCCTCTGGTTTTATAGGTTGGGCTGGATGTGAAGATTGAGCCATCAATCTTTTAAGGAGAAGATGCCAAGTGTTCTCCTCCTCTACTTGATCTATGGAGATCAGTAACGACGCTCTTCAGTAAGCTACATATCTGCTTTTCTCAACAAAGGTGCCATGGTAACAGGCATCAGCTGAAATGAGTACAAGCTATGAAACTATATGGGTAAAGTAATATAATCTAAATTGTACACTTAATATTCAAAAATCAAACAAACTTCCATCCAGCAGGGTCTTAACACAGATACCAGAGGAAGCTATCTTAATTTACATTATACAGAAAAGAAAACAAATAGACCATGCCACTAAATCTCAGTACTTGCCTTGTCATTTTTACATTATAACACAGAAAACACAGTTAGTTTGGGAGGTATTAATTAGCTATGTGACAACTATATGCATAAATAAAAGAGAACAAGGTCTCAGAATTCTGCCAAACCTAGGGCAACATTTTACTACCACTCTCCTAAAATAATTATACCATCAAAATAAAAATTGAACTTGAGACAGGTCACTGAGTTTTCTCAGGTCCCTGAAACAGAAGGAGATATGAATTTTCCAACTGTCCCACATGGCTAGCACAGCTCCCATGTTTCCCAAACACACAAAGTTAAGCTTTGATTCAATTAACATTTTCCCCAAAATTAGTATATAGACAGAATGGACCTGGCACCACTATCTGATGATGAGGGAAAAAAATCACACTTGCATTTTGATAAATAAATCATAGACCTGACATATACCAAAATAAAAACAAATTTTGTATAATAAAGTATAATAACCAGAAAAAAAGAAGTTTTTAAGATTCAATCAATATTTCCATTCTGGGGAGTTTCGTTTTGTTATAATACTCATACAGATGCATGTTTCTCTTCTACGTGGCCAGATTCATGTTAAGTGTTTTTAATGTAAATTGCTGTTCAAGAAAATAGCACTGCTATAGAAATTATCAGCTTTCATCACAATTTACTTCTCCTTCTACATACTCTAACTTACATGGGTATGCTCAACTTTCCTTGCAAGTGGCAGACAAAGAAATCAAGATAACTGCTATTTGCCAGTAATCCATTCGAAGTACAAAAGCTACTACATCATAATCCTGCCCTAGGGTTTTCTCTCATTCAAAAATATCCACCAAGAGGAACAGACAAAATAATGTGTATACATAGAAGCAGTATTTTTTTAATATTGCCTACAACCACATCAATGGCAGATACAACAGCTATACAATAACCACAAAGATCTAGAGTCCAGAGGCTCAGTCAAATTCCTTTTACTCTCAATCTCACATCATCAGCCCCTTGGGCAAGCACAAAGTACTCAGGGATCCCTCCCCAGACTTTCTTCCAAGGTGGGGCTCAGAAGAGCAGACTGCTCTCTACTTCCCTTGTATGTGGCTCTGTTCGTTGATTTAATCAATATGAATCTGAGGCCAGTCAACCTAAGGGACTGCAAATGGTTGCTGTAGCCGCACCTCAGTCCTTTCATTCCTTTCTGAATTCCAAAGATACTTTTATTTGTGCAATTCTTGATATCACAACACTGTAGCCTCTTGCACATTCTCTTCTTTACCCCACTGTCTCTCTAGAACTAACAGATAAGACATTCTAGTTCTAGGAACTAAACATAATACCCTTCTTCCTCCATTGTACCCAGAAGCTATAGCTTCAAAAATTCTGTACTTCCATGTAAAATGTGAGTGTGGCAAGACTGTGTATTATCCACGACTTGTTAGACAAAATACAACCTCACACAAATAACAGTATTTATTCAATTGTCTCATACATTTTGCTAACTCCATGTATCAACAGTCAACTGAAAACCAAGATGTCTGCTAACATGTAATGTTTTCCATAAGCCTCAACATTATGCTATTAAGCAGCTCCTTTCATATTACCATTCTATTTTACCTCTGTATTTCCTCTTAACTTATTAGGATGTTTCCCCATGACACTTTCTTTAATAACTCTGGTGCTTTATTAAAATATCTGCAAAATAATTCAGCAAATGAGCTGAAGTAAAATCCTAAAAAGAATCTGCCCTACACATAGCTGACATGGAAATGGTGACAGTAAAATGTAATGTGAAAAAAAATTCACGATATTTCCATGCAAAACTTTAAATGACATTCTTTTTAAAAGAATGCTGAAAATCATACTATAAAATAAAATCATCTGCAAGCTTTGGTATTGAATTTATTCCAATTCATTGTGATTAATGAAATAAGCCACATCTTTTTCAAGCTATTCCTACCTTTCTAATTCCCTGAGTTATGTTTCACTCATTTAAAGATAACTCTGCAGTATTTCCACAACATGGCTCCTGGTTAATTCTCAACCTTTCCAACAATGGCACACGGGTAAATGTAGCACCATCACATCAAGCCATAATGAAAGAAAAGGAAGAACACTGCTTACCAGAACCTCTTTTGGTCACAACCTTCAAACTCTGAGTAAAAGTAGCATATAAGAGAACCAAGTGCGGAATCGGAGCTTTCATCTTCCAGTTCTTAAAGGCTGTTCCCTAAAGCAAAGATAAAAAAGAAAAACATACATTTTAAAAAATATATAGCAACATTATAAGATTTTTATTAGATTTTTTATCATGCATGATTGGAGCAATGAATTCCACAAATGGAAACAATGTGAACAGGATCTGTAGTCTATTTTCCTGTATGTGGAGGTTCCTAAATTAAATCAAAACCAGTAATATCAAAATTATGTCTCCATAGCCCCCCAAAATTTTTAAAATCTTAGGCTCACTGAAGATTTAGAATTTCACTTTATTTAGAGGACCTAATTGTGTTTAAATAAGTGGGAATAATCCCTTTAAAAGGACTATTTTATTAACAATTTATTTTAAATATAAATTAACCAACAAGGACATTTTTTAATGTTCCATGCTGCATTAGAATATGGTTTTCTTCAGTATAATTCTTTCCAAATGAGAAGAAAAACATAAATTCTATGCCTCTAAAGATTTGATTATAATTTTACAATTCTCTTTTTAAAAAAAAAAAACCTAAGAGATACTTCAAGAGAACTTTAAGACTTGGTCTCTACTAAAAGAAAGTATCTGCATATGAAAGCTACATCATTTCTCCCTACTATAAGGCTCTCAGAGGGATACTAGAAGGGAAACTAGCCTAGTTTTTGAATTTCAAAAGCGGGCAATATTTCATTTGAAATTAACTGAAATGAACGTTGTCTTCATCAGAAAATCATCCCTTTTTAATTTTTGTACAAGACTGAGATAGTTGAGCTGAAAGACTGAATTTCAAAAAGTAGCAAGTCAGAACAAAGTTCAAATATAGTGTCAATCCATGACAGCACAAGTTTCTCTGCAAGACAGTTGAGGAATGATCATATTCAGCTTTCAATCACTATGACTTTATTAAAGATGAGGAAGCTGAAATGGTGATTTGAGTCACATTTTTTTGCTCTCCTAAAGTCTCAGGTACCTCTGAGTATTTTTAAATGATTAATTCATTTACATTAATAAAAGTCTGTTAAAACACATTTTAATTCACAAAACAAAATCAAAATCCTTTTACTTGCAGTCAAGTGTCACCATTATCCTTTTACTCACAAAGTAAGTGAATTTTTAAAATAAGCATTGAGAATAAGCTATTTTAACTCCAGCTCTTATAAATGATGATAGCCTGTTTCAGTTTTCTAACCAACGACCTGGAGTTCACATAAAGACATAAATGAAACCTAGCCCAAAAAGCCGACTCATCAGACACATCTGACGAACTGCCACATTAAAGTGCAAGCCTGAGTCACGCATGCATTGCTAAAACCCGAATCCCATTTCCCAGGCACCACACTAACTGGAGCTGCAGGAAATCTTCAAGCTGGTATCTCCAGCCTTCAGGTTAGCAGTGAGAATCAGTTCCTCTCTCAGTGTGAGTTTAATCAGCACTGCCCAAGAAACTCCAGGATCCAACTATACACTGCAAGACCTTTCAGCTTAACTACCTTATTACTTTACTCTTGTTCAAAATACTATTTCCTTACTCATTTCATTTCTATAAGTCATACAGGCTAGTTTATGATTCTATTTCTTAAAATTAAATTGGTTTGGAAAGCATCAATTTGGTAACATCAAGAGCCTTAATTGAGTGTCTCCAAACGTTGTATATTAGGGAAAACAATAGAGAATCATGGAGCATTTCAGAGATTTAATATCTTGGTCAATCTACAGTAATCTCTAGAAACCTCTTTAAGGTAATTTATTATATTTTATATTGAAAGATAGATTAAATATGCCTAGTCATAGATATCCAAGCTTTGCTGTACTTGTTGCATAGTTAAAATTCCTACCCAGAAATCACAATGCAAACTATATATAAACATTTACTGAGATTCTCCTGTATTTCCTTATTTTCACATAGAAGCTCATGCTATCAGTGACCTAATTTCAAGAAGCTTCAATTTCTGGGTGGATAAGCCTGAGATGATCTGCCTGTCTCCTGGTAAGAATACCATTCACCAATGGGCTTCACATAAATCACTACTAAATCTTATGTGAAATGAGCATATCACAGTGGTTATAAGCAATCAGTCTGTCTGGGTTCTCAACTCAGTTTTGCTACCAATCAGCTGCATAATTTGGGGCAAATAACCTCTCTGCGACTAGTTTCTTCATTTACAAAACAGGTGCAGTACATATAGCACAGTGCCTAGAAAAGCACTGGCATAAAGAACAAACTGAATACACAAAAGCTGCAGTTGTTACTAATTTTACTGCAGTTGACTGTTGTTGCCATTATTATTACTATATTAGCCCTATTAGAGACTCAACTCACATCCCTCTCATCTGTGAAACTTTCTGTATATACCAGCTTTCTTTACGTGCTACCTCACACTATCAGCTTCTCTTTAATTGTATGTCTGTCTATTCTACCAGACTGAGTCCCTCCAGGGTGTACGTGTGTTTTATTCATCTTTTTATAACCGATGCTCAGTAAAATTTAGCTGAAATAAAATGAATGAAAGACTGAATGTGGTTGCTACTCTATGCAGTTGAATTTTGGTATTCAAACTCATCATTTGATAAACACTTATTAAGCACATACTAGTTACAAAATGCTGCGTTGTAGTGCAGTGGGGACACAAAGACAATGTAATGCACTCTAATAAAGAAGGCTCACAGACCAATAAACAAGACAAATGCTTACCTACTTAATTAGACTGCCCCTATTGCCATATGGTGAGTATAATGTGCTGAGGGAGTAGAGGGCGGAAATCCATTCTGTTTCAGGTTGGATCTGATGAAGTCATAAGAAAGAGCTTTCACAAGAAGCATTTCAGCTGGGACATAAAGGAAAGACTTTCTAAAGAAAAGGAAATTTTGGAGCTAGGACAAACAATGGGTGAAATTGTCTGTCTGATAGGCAGAATAATGCTCACCCACAAACATGCCCACATTTGAATTCCTCAATTCTGTCACTAAGTCACCTTACACAGCAAAGGGACTTTGCCACTGTGGTTAAGTTAAAGATTTTCAGATGGGAGATTATTACCCGGGTGAGCCCAATGTAATCACAGCATCCTTATAAAAAGGCAATAGAAGAATCAGATTCAGAGAGAAGAAATGCAAAGGAATGTCTGTGGCCTCTAGAAGCTGGAAAAGGCCAGGATACAGATTCTTCCCCTGGATCCTGCAGAAGAAATGCAAGAATGCCAACCTCTTGAATGTAGCCAAGTGAGTCCAGTGCATTTTGAACTTCTGACCACCAGAACAGTAAGATTAAAAATTGGGTTGCTTTAAGCCACTCAGTTTGTAGTAATGTGTTACAACAGCAATAGGAAACCATCACAGCAAGGATGTGAAATGGCAAGTTTCAGGAATGAAGTGTAAATAGACCACAAGGTGGGGGATAGAAGTTAAAGATGTCAGTGTAGGATTGTTAAGAGCAAGATATGCTAGGCAAAAAGTTGGGGACTTTTCCCTCGAGTTCCCTACAATGTTTTTCACTCTTATTCTAACTTCATCATCCAATAATACTTCATGCAGCTTTACATACTTTTTTTTGATCATGAAAAAATATGTACATTGTATACATTTCCTCAGAATACACATGACAACTCACTCAAGATTCTGACTCGCCCCCTTTCATACCCCTAACACTCTTTGCAGTATAGACAATGAAAAGCCAATGGATGCTTATAGGTTAGTAATCTGAACTATTTCAGAAAGTATAGTCGGAAGGTAGAAAAACTACTTAACAGGCAGTGGTACATGAAGACGAGGAGGAGGGTCAGCCTTAATGGAGTAGGGGTGAAGACTGGGAGAACAGAATAGATTTGGGAATAAATAGAGCTTAGTTATATTAAAGGAAGTGGTGTTAAAAGGAAGCTTCAAAAGTGGATCTGAGGCATATAGTTTGAGCAGTTAGGTCTATTATAATACTATTTAGCAATATATGGAAGTAAAGAAGACATTTTGAGCAATGAGACTGGAGAAATTATATTTTGGGCATGTCGATTTTAAATTTGCTTGTGGAATCTCCTATTAGAATTGTCTTGTAGTTAATTTAAAATATTAGCCAGAAGCTCAGTAAAGAGATGGAAGATAACAAGGTTGTAATTGTCGCTGAAGTTAAAGCAACTAGGATAAACAGGAAGAGAAGGAAAAGAAGTTGTATGCTTTCAAGTCTGAAACCTACAAATATTTATGATATAGCCAAAGGGAATCAAAAGGGAGAAAATCTGAGAAAAATCAGGCAGTGAAGGGAAGTCAGTCAGGAAGGAGTGAGGTCCATGATGCAAGCAAGGATATTTAAGAACATGATCAGTAGAGCTTAGGTACTGAAAGGATAAAAAGAGGCAAGTGCTTGAAAATTCAGATACTGCTGGTGATATTGGCCAGTCTTTAGACAAATGGGGGCACAATCCGACAGTTTAAGGAGGATAATCAGCTTCACTTGCTTTTTTCTTAATGGTAGGATGTGAAATCCACAGTTGGCAATTGAGAAGTTGAGGGACAACTAGAACTGAGAGGAGGGACCGGACCAGGACTTCTATGTAAACTGCAGCTAAGAGAAGCAGAGCCAGAGGAAGGAAGGAATCTAGGGGGGAAAGTGGGACACCTTCTCCAACAGGCAGAAGAGAAAGAAAGGACACATGTAGGAACACAAAGGGAAGTTTAGAAGAGAAATAGATGGAAGCTGTACTCACTTGTTTTGTTCTACTCAGAAAGCAGACAGAGTTGGTTTTAGAATGAGAATGAATTCTCCTGGGTTAGGTTAGGCAAGCTACTTCACCTCTCTAAGCCCCCGCTTTCTCATCCAAAAAGCATGGACATAAATATGCATTGTATTAATTTCATTTGAGTTTATTTCACTTTTGACCTATTTTCCCCCAACAAATTGAGGTAGTAAATACCTACTTCAAAGATTTACTTTTAAATAAAATAATTGTCTTTATGGTGTTTAACGGTGACATTTAATTGTAGACGGTTTAAAACGCCTGGTCTTTTCCTATGTCTCTTTTCTTTCCACTCCTGGCTGATATATA